TTTTTCAATGTTCTTTTTGCTTCAATAAAGCTGAAAATCACCATTAACTTCGTGCGTAGTATTTTTGTCTAAAAAATGTCGCCATTGTTGTTCTCGTAGTATGTGCGTAGTTGGAACCCTATAACTTCACTTTGGAAAAAAAGCATAATTTTTATATATTTTGAACCAGAAAACAATGGGCTGTGCACTTATTGCTTTTTCACTGTTCTTTCTGCTTCAATAAAGCTGAAAATCACCTTTAACTTCGTGCGTAGTATTTTTGACAAAAAATGTCGCCATTGGCATTGTTGTTCTCGTAGTATGTGCCTTTATTTACAAAACAATACTCACATATTGACTTGTACTTGAAACCCCGTACATAAACGTTTTATTAAACAAGTTTCAGAACATCATCTTATAGCTATATAGTTTAAAGGGATGTGCACTTATCGCTTTCAAAACTTCTTTCAGTCATTTGATATTTATATTTAAGCTAAAAATCGCCAATGTCAATAATGAACTCTTTACTAAAATTTTTTACTGATAGATGCCATACAAAAAAGGATTTTCGTCTTTTTTCGAGATTGAAAAAGCAGCAGTTTAAAGTAATGAAAAAGGCTGAAAGTACGAAACGAAAACTAAGCAACAAACTAGAATCAAAGGCCTTCGAGGCCGACTCACGGATGAGATCAAATTAATTAAAGGGGGATATGATTTACAGCAGTTTTTTACAAATGGGAACCGTGCAAGGGCAAGGACATTATTTGGTAAAACACAACATAATATAAAATGTTCCCGAAGATCTTACAGGTTTAAAGTTTAATTTTAACGACATCCTCGATTTTAACAATAAGGGACCGGTCATTAATTATGGAAGGGGGGAGGGGAGGAAAAAAATAAGGGGGGCATATGTAGAAATGACTAGAAGGGGGGCTATTAAATTTTTTCAAGAAAATGACAGGGGGGGTTGCAATTAAACTTGAAGGAATTTGCTTAATAACCTGGTATCCATTTGGTTGTAAATGTTGCAATAAATCATGGTCACTGGTCACTAAATCATGGTCACTGATGTGAAATAGTCTGGATTCATCTTGTCTTGTGTGTACTGTATGCAAATCAGTCTTTACGGATTGCAGACTAGTTAAATTGACAATGTATTATTACATCAGCTCTTGGTGTGGTTAAATACATTTAAATTAAGCAGTTAACGGCGTTTGTATTATGCAGGCCACATCCGCTGAAGGGAGTCTGTGACGTCATATCGATCAAAGGGGGTTGTTTCATGCCTTGTGATCAGTGCTTGGGTCTGGGTATTCATTCTGCCATTGTATGCTTTGCCTAGCTGCAGCAAGTTTTGCGCTTCGATACCTTTTCCCGACCCACCCACCCATGTTCATTCTAAAAGATTTTATCTGGTAGCTAGTATATGTCATTTTATTTTATATAATTTTAAATGTCACATAAAATAGGATGTATAGACCACTATACATTGTATTTCGCAGGTATGCCTAGTTGCAGAATTGTCATTGCTATCTCCTTTTGCTGCTAATATTACTGATTGTTGCTCTCATTGTTGCTGCGCAGCTGCTATGGCAATACTTTGTACCATCAAGTCTAGTTGCAGCCTTAAACATGGTTACGATCACCCAGACCAAATGGAAACCTGATTTTAGTGTTATATATAAAAATACTCCTCTTTTAATTATAATTTTCTGCTAATAAATATATATTTTTGGTCGACGTTAATATCTTGCCAGTTCCATATCCTTATTTAATAATTAATACTATAACGCCTGGGTATCCCCATTTGACAAGTAAAAATGAAAATGGGGGGGGTCAAACTATAACGCCTGGGTATCCCCATTTGACGAGTAAAAATGAAAGTGGGGGGGGTCAAAGAAAAATATTGTAATATGCAGGGGGGCATCATTAAATTTCTGCCATTTAGGGGGGGGGCTTTCAATTTTAAAAATTTAGAAAAGAAAAAATTCCCCTCCCCCCCCTTCCATAAATAATGACCTGTCCCTAACCAATATCAACAGTCTTGAAAAAACAATCTGATAGATTATTATAAAACTACACACCATCAAAGCAAATCTATATAAAAGTACAATAACTGTAGCTGTCAGGTGTGTATAGTGTTCAACAGAATAATTATAAGTATAAAGCTGTACCTAATACAGTCAGTATCAGTACATCCAAAGACTGTGGCTTTCTGATATGTACAGTGTTAAACAGACTGACAATTTAAACATGATAACTATAATATATAAAGCTGTCCCCAATGTAATATATCAAATGACCGTAGCTGTCCGATCTACAGTGTTGAACAGGACAATTTAAACATGATAGCTATAAGTATAAAGCTGTAACCAATACAGTACATGCTGCATCAACGACCGTAGCTGTACGATGTACAGTGCACAGTGATGAACAGAAAAATTTAAACAGAACAACTATAAAACAGCACCCTTATTGGTACAACGGTACAGGTAGCTGTCCAATGGCAGTACAGTGTAAGTAAATCCAGGTGGTAATGCTGCCTCAGTGTCCAATGTTCTTTTTCTTTTTAGACCATTTATAATTGTTACCAAACTGTGAATAAACATAAATATCTACATTGAAAAGGGAATGGCTGCAAAAATTTCAATATCAGTCCCCCACACACCACTGTTCCTCATGTTGCTTGTGGCTAAATAATGATCTACTGAACTCATCATATATGGTCTAAGGACATGTTCTATACTGTTCATGTGATCCACTATTTTTTGTCTTAAAATCATGTGGTATGTTTGTCTACCGGTTAAAATATACGACAGTGCTCTAAATAAACAATTGCCATCCCCAGTAATCCGACAGAGTTTCGTTGGATTAACTAGTGGTTTTGTTGTTGTTTCATTGCGTCTAAATATAAGTGGGACATTCATCAAAGAGCATAAGGACAGCTGAAATTCTCCTGATAGAGGATAAAAATGAAGCGATTTATCGATACACTGCTGAGACTCGTGCGTGCCAGCTGATACTAGGCTACAGTGCAAGCGCAGTCATATGAAATATACAACGGCAACGTGACTTTAATACCAAGATTTTGTGTCGTGTTGCTTCGAATAAGACAAATATGTCCTTTGTATTCCGTGACAGCTAAAACATGAATTATTTAAATAACATGATTAAATTTGGTAAACAAAGAACTCTTTCAATCGACAGAAACTATGGAAACAGTGTTGAAACGGTGTTGAAACACAGCTGACAGAGGCGCTCGAAAGGCACCAGAAAATGTGAACACTTGTATATATATTGAACAAAATATTGTTAATATTTCAGCTAAAAGGTAGATCAGTGTGTTAACAGCAGATCTGTTGGGTGAAGTAGAAAAACAGGTAACAATTAAGTCAACTAAACAAAAACGAAACACTCACCTTTTAATTTAACATACGCTTGTCAAAAAGTCAAAAGTTGAAAAGAACGTGAAGCGTGCTCCAGCCCAATTTTCGGTTCCAAAAGACCCGTTCGCAGGCAAACACTGGGCGCAAAGCAGGCTGGTCATTTCCCATTGTTTAACTGCCCCCACTCAAGTAAACCACAAAGACTCACAGATGTTGCTTCGCAACATCCGTGAGTCAAAAACCAATGATACCAAAGTTATCAAGGGTACGCACAGGGGTGGATCCAAACTAGTGCCACTAGTTTCCGGAAACTAGTCAAATTTTTCCAAACTTTTGAATTTATGTGTTTTTCTTCAAGTAATTTCCAAATCGTTAATAAAATTTTCAGTAATTTTGACCATATTTTTTTTATATAATAATTTGGCGAAATCAGCCATTTTTGTTTATATACGTTATTTTTCACCGGAAGAGGGACCTTAGGAAACGCAAATCCGGGTTAAAATGCCTGTGTAATCCACTGATCTATACAGATCAGCGATGCAACGAAATGCGTGGAATTTAGTGCCTTTGCGTTAATTAAATCCACGGAAACTACTCAGGCACTAGTCAAAAGTTATAAATACGACCGAACATTCCGTGGTGCTTTGCAGTGTTTGCGTGAAATGCTAATATGGCAACTTTCGCTATACCTCGTGGCGAACCTTTAGTTCCAAAGGAAGATTGTTCTCCCTTTGACACTGGGTTCGGTTATTCTACAATTTCCAATGCTTCTCCGGCAGAGAAGTTTCGCTTTATCAACAATGTTTGGAAGCCTTCTTTGAATTATAGTTTTCCTGCATCGGTTGAAGCCGCAGGAAAGCTACGAAAGTGTAGACACGAGTGGTTAGTTCGATTCACATGGCTTGTGTATTCAA